CTTTTTAGCATTTCTTTTGTCTATATATTCATTTAAACTACCTGGCTTCTTCTCTAAGACTTATTTATTTATTTGAAGGCAGAGTTACAGAGAAAGAGAGAAAGAGAAAGAGACTGAGAGAGAAAGGGGAGGGGCAGAGAGAAAGATCTTTTATTGGCTAATTGACCTCTCAAATGGCCACAACAACTGGGGCTGAGCTATGCTGAAGACAGGAGCCTAGAACACCATCTATGTGTTCCTTATGGATGCCACGGGCCCAAATATTTCAGCCATCTTCCTCTGCTGTCCCAGGCACATTAGCAGTGAGCTGGATCAGAAGTTGAACAGATAAGACTTGAATCAGTGCTCATTAGATGCCATCATTGCAGGAGTGGCTTAACCAGAGACACAATACCATTGGCCCCAGAGCTACACAGTTTTTGAAAATTTGTTTTCATTGCATTCTCCGAATTTTATTGTATGTAATTGTCATCGATGCTCTCTTAATGACATTTCCATTATGATTTTATCTTCAATTAATAGTTATTTAAACTGTATTTTTAAGCTTCAAAACATATGTTTTAGTTATTATTTTGTTATCAATTTCTATTTAACTGTGTTTAAATTTATGTTCCATATGTTGTCAGTCATTGAAATCTGTTGATATTTGCTTTCAGAAACAGAACCCTGGAAATTTCAGTAAATATTTCCAGTGTGTTTGAGTAGAATCTATTTTCCTTAATTTTTTTTTCTGTAGAGGTCTACATATGCTCATTAAATTCATCTTGTTAATTATATCATTTCTCATTATTTTTGTATCTACTTAACATGTCAATAGTTGAAAGCATCTATTCTAATGAGGAAATTTGCCAATATCTCCATGTATTTTGATGTAAAAAGTTCTTAAAACTATATAAATAACTTTGTGGCTTTATATCTAACAATGTATATTTGTATGTTTACATTGTTAAAAATATGTCTAATTGAACATGAACTTTTATCATTATACAATTCTCTTTATCAGTAATAATTTTTTACCTTAAAGTCTCTCTTCTCTGGTGTTATATAGCAAAAAGTGACCTTTTTCCTTGTTATTATTAATATTTGCTTGATGTGTCTTTTCTCATCCTTTTTATTTTCATGTAGACATCTTTACTGGGATATGATTGAAACTGAATTAACAGCGCCTATTCAGACTGTATAATGTGATAGACTTTACATAGCTATATACCATGAAACCATCCATACAATGATGATTAACATGTGCATTGTACCCAAAGTTTTCTAATGGCCTTCTCCATCTTTCTTTTCAACTGTATTTTGTATATGTTTTTCCATAAACAGCACAAGGCCACATTTTGTGTGCCTGCCTATTCAATGTTTCTTTTTTAATACGTTAGGGTCATTATTTTGTTCATGAAGCACTTACTTCCTGAGGTACTTTTTCTTTCTAAGTATATGTTGGGGAAGCCCCTCTCTTTTGAAATTGGATTTATTTTGCTCTCACTCTTGAAAAGCTTCATGGTTTCTAGGAGACAAAATTCTAGGTTGACAGTTCTCTTATCTAATTATTTTGAAGATGACACCTCATTCTAGCTTCCGTTATTGCAGATAGAATGGTTTCTGTCAATTTAATTGTCCTTTCTGTCCTCTTATCTTTTTGAAATTCCTATTTGAACATATGTTAGGCCTTATTATTTGGTGGCTTGTATCTTAATCTTCTCGTAAATCACTAGGTTTGTCTTGCAGCTCAACAATTTTCCCTTCAACAGTGTCTAATCTGTTATTTTGCCCAACAGTAATTTTTTTAAAGGTTACATGAAAGGGCTTCAAAAAATTCATGGAAATGCTTATTATGAAGAACAAAAACTATGCATGTATTTGAAAGGATTATTTTTGCCCCAAAATACACTTGCTTTTCAATTATTTTTCTTACACTTTTTGTAATTACTCATATTCATAATTTCTAAAAGTGTTTTCCAAACCTGTTTGAAATTTTTTGATACATTCTTGCTCTATTCTCATTATCACTACCCCTCTAAAATGTTACAAATTGTTATTGTATATTCATTATCCAAGTTAATTAGGTAACAGTTGAAACTATGACAGTTTTTCTTCTGCAGATTTTTATTTGTAAGAGCTTGTGGAGTGCCTTCTTCCAGTGAGGGTTCCTATTTGCCTTTGCTTCGAGTCAGGAGGTGTTACTGCTTTGGTGGCATTTAACATCTTTGATTATTTAAATTGGTATGGTTTTTTAAGGTAGTTTTATAGATGGCTACAGCTTGAGATTTATTCTGCTAACCCCAGAGCTGGTAACAAACATTTGCTCCCCACTTCCTCTTGGGCAACCAGAACTCACCTTTGCTTATAGCTCAGTTTTTTGTTGGCTTAGAGTTATTTTCAACGTTTCTCTCCTTGAGTAGATTGTATGAAGCTTTGAGGTATCTCTAATATCAATGAGATACCAAACTATCCATCTGCCACATTATCCATAATATAATTTAGATTTTTGGGGGTAAGCTTTCAGAAATAGTTTTTGGATGTAGAAATCTCATCCCTTTATATTTAATATCTAATTTCCTTAATTATAAAAATATAGTTTAGAAATAACACATCATAGTATTTATTTTTAAGCATAATCTGTAAACATATTTTTGAAAAAATATTTGAATTGATTCATATGTCCTTATTATGTGTGAATGTACTTCTACTGCCTATTTGTGTTTTCTATTTACATTTTTTTCCTTCATTTATCTTTACAGCTTTAATTAGATTAGTTTTAGTTTTACTTATTTATATTGTGTCCAGATTGAAAGTTTTTATTGTATCTTATTTTAGTAGCAGTTACTAAATTTATAAAAACGTACTTTAAATTGGAGGTTAATATCTTTAATTTCCTCCTAAAGTATATCTGGAAACCAGAGTTTTTGTCACATATCTGTAGCCTCCAATTATCTGTGTTTATTGTTTTTGATCTATAACAAGCATTGCTATAAATCAGACCACTGCAAAATATAGCAGGTTAAAACAAAATCCTTTAAAAAGGATTTATTACTGCATGTTTTTATTTATTTGTTACTGTATTTATTACTGTATATTTCAATAGGGTAATTCTGTTTATATGGACCAGGTAAGGCTACTGATGCCTGAACACCTTCATTTACCTGTGTATGACCACAGGGTAGTTCAACATTTCAGCTACAGGTTGGCTGGTCTTGCTTAGTCTTTGTCACATTCTGGCAACTGAGTCAGTGCTGCTGGGGTACAGAGGACTTTTCCATGTGTCTCTCATGATTCAAAAGACTAGACTGTGCTTGTTCAGATGGCAGCCAAGTTCCATAAGAACAAATGAAAGTATTCTTGGCTTTTTGAGGCTCACACTTAAAACTGGAAGCATATCACATTTACCACATCCTTTGGCCAAACAAATGGCAATGCAAGCTTAGATGCAAGTGATGAGGGAAGAAATTCCAGGAAAAGGTAAATAGTACAACTATGCTTGCAATCATACTAGATTTTAGTGCTCCAACTAAAAAACTAATTTCTAGAAGCACTTAAAAAAGGAATTTAAGTATTTTCATAAAGCTATCTTTGGTTATTACTGTTTATGTCTGCATTCTCTCTGATACAGGTGCTCTATTAATTATATTTGTGTCCCTGAATATTCATATTTCTGTAAATAATTCTTACTATTTCAAGGAACAATTTAGCTGTATAAAAAGTTTTATGGTGCCATTTTCTCCCTAAACATTTTGAAGACATTATACTATTGCATTCTAGCAATTTTTTTTGCTGATAAATCTGTTATCAATTGAGTTTAGAGTCTATTTTCCCTTTATGATTAGTTGGATTTATTATTTTTCTATTAGCTTTTATGATGTTTTCCTACAATGTGTCTAGACATGTATTTATTTATGTGTGTATATTTGTTTTGCTCTGAACTTATTGGTCTTCATTAACATGAAAGCTCAATTTTTTGTAGATATTGATATATTCATCATTATTTATTCATATACAATTTCTTATTATTTTCCTCTGGAATTCCTATTAGACCTATATTGGATTTCTTATTCTGTTTTGAAAATTTCATAGCAATTTTATTTTCCACTGTTTCCTTGGGGCATCCTGAAATTATTTTATCAGAGTATTCTTCTAGTTTGGATCTCTTCAACAATTTAATTAACTGTTTAATGCATCCACTTTTTTAAAGGATTGTCAAATGTAACTTTATCACTTAAAGAACTACAGAGGTTTACACACATATAATCAATAGCCATTTTAGTATAAATACAGGCTCTTCATGAACATGATATATACAAAATCTTTGATTATCTTCAGGTATTATGATCAGTGTTTATATGTTTCCCAGTACTTAAGATGTTTATTTGTTGTTTTTGTTTATTTTTGGAATTGAGATGCAAATAAACTCAATAAATAAAATTAATTGATCTCAATTTATAAATATTCTCTCTCTCTCTCTAGTTCTTGTTTCCCTGCAATCATTATTGATGAAATCCGGTCATTCCTTTGTTCTGTAGAGATTCAAAAATTCTTGCTTTTGTGATTTTATCTCTATTGTGTCCTTTAATAGACTTATTTCTCCCCTGTATGTCATGTAAATTGAAATTAGATTTAGAACTGTCAAATGACATTTCCATTTTTAGAGGTGAGACTCTCCTTCATAGTTGGTAACATAAACTCTCATCAGCTATTGATAATGCCTGATTATCTCTGATGTTTATGATTTTATCAGCCATTGATGATCATAGATAGCTACATTAATTCAAAAGCGGTTCCAAATATTCCAATTTACTAGTTCCAACATATCATTTTTTTTAAATCAGAGTGTTTCAATGAAGTCAAACTACTTCTTCAACTATTTATTTGCCTTGAGAGATAGTTGGCCAAGGCAAAGTAGTTAAAATGCCTGATTTTCCTTTATTATCATTTCTCTAAATGAACAGTTTGTTCCTGATCATCCTCCAAAGTTAAAAAAATGAGGTCTTTGTTTTACTGTTTATTGTCATGGTTTTTTTTTTTTTATTGGAAAAAATTATATTTTGGAAGAACTCACTACAGAAGGTGACAGAATTCCAAAATCAAATTACATGAAAATATACACCGCAATTTCTTTGTACAATAGGTGAGGGCAATCTGCAGAATGGAAGAATATAGGCAAAGAAATGTGAAGGGCAGAGAACAGGAGGAGGGTGGCAGACCCAGAAGTGAAGTAGAAAGCTGGAAGATGTGCATGCTTTATTTATCCAACCTTAACATTAGGCAACTGAAGGGCAAATAAAACCAAATTGAAATCTTGCGCTCTTTGGGGTAAACTGCAGGATATTGGATTCAGAACCAGCTTTTTTTTTTTTTTTCCTTTCTTCTTTTTTTTCTTTCTTTAAGTTTTCTGGGGGTAATGACTGGGTTCAAGAGCTCTCAACAGCCAGAAGAGATTATTGCTACATCCAATCCAAGAGATGGGTGTAACCAGAATACAAAAAGGACAAAGCCCCTGGAGATGACCACTCCTTGAAGTCATCATTAGAAATCAAGTAATTGCTTATTAAGTATTTCAGTATTAGAACTAAATGATTGAGACAGATGAGATGAAAGCAAAGGGGAGTGTGCCAAAACAAAAATATACAAAAGTTTAGTAAGTGAAAAGAATTTAATGAAGCCTCAATGGTTTAAAGGAAATTAAATGGAAACTTTTAATCCTAATTGCTTTTCATCTGACATGCTTTGAGGAGTCTTTTAAAACTGATAAGAAACAATGAATAGGGAAAGAAAACCTGCTAAAATCTTTTAGAATTTACACGATTCTTATTCTACAAGAAAGCATTATTTGGTACAAGGTGTATTTGTGGATGTACATGAACAGCATATATATTATCCGGATCATGTTGTGCTATGTACAGATCTTTACAATTCTTCCTGAAGGTTAAAACAGTTCATTAGAATTCAAAATGCGTAATCATCTGTAAGTTGGCACTTGTCAGGCTCTTGTCAGCACTGATAACTGGCATGTTTTATTGTGCCCAGTTCCAGCCAGTGTTTGCCAACTTGTTACAACAGAAGTCCAGCAATAGGTGGGTAGAGTGCAGGAAAAACAGTGCCATGTTTCTCAATTGGAGACCCCTGAAGTAAATGAAGTTACTAGCTGTTGAATAAATGTCACTCGAAAGCAGTCTCTTGGCTTTTTTCTTACACAGCGGGCAACTTTCCTTTTAAATTCTCCATTTCCGTCTTCCCTCCATTCTTTCGCGGCATCAACATTAGCTGGTGAGTCTCCATTAGGGTCTGCCAGCATAGAAATGACACTTATGATGGTTTCCACAGTATGGATAGGCAGCCAACGTTCCTCTGGCTTTTCATAACCATATTTATCTTCCCCAGGCTCATGAAGAATAGAAATGCAAACATCACCATTTTTATCAACATTTGGGTGCCAGATTTCTGTAATGAATTTCATTTTAGGAGGCCTGAGGGGATAATCCTTTGGAAAAGTGAGGTGAGCCTTAAAAACACCACCTTCATATAGTGTATCTGGAGGACCAATAATAAGGACTTCCCATCGGTAGAGATCATTGTCATCTATTAAACCTGCTGAAAAGCCTTCCACTGGATTTTTGTTGAGTTCTATCCGGCCGGAGGCCAGTTCCGCTCGCCCACTCCCGCCGCCGGCTGCCCGCCGAGGCTCCGACACCCGAGCCAGCGACAGCGACCGCGCGGGGCCCAGCGGCTCCAGCCTCCCCCCACCCCACCCTCGCCACCCCCCTATTGTCATGGTTTTAAAGGTTAGTTTTACTTATACCTGAATTGTCCCATCTTCGCCCAATAGGAAGTTAGTAAAATTAGTTCATGATTGAATTCTCTATTTTTTCACCTGTCCCTCTGCACATGAATATGTATTTTTTTAACTTTTTCAATTTATAGTATGACAAGAGTTTCCAGGTTTATCTTTTTGTTTCTTTCTCATTTCTAGAATTTACTAATTCTACAAGAATCTCTCCTTTATTATAGAAATCACAATTTGGATTCTAGGTGTATCTATGATTATTGATTTAATTCTAGATTTTTTTTCTATGAGCACAGCTAGAAATTATGCATTTTCAACAAAAATATATGATAAATTATAAATTTATAATACTAATTTACATTCAAACCCAGGACTATTCATGGATTTTACATAAACTCAGGGATCTTATGTCTGTTCTTCCTCTATTCTTTTGAAAAAATCTCAGATTTTGAAACAGTTACTCATTTCCTTTATCTTTTGATTCACATGCAATAGTTGTGGAACAACAATAGCAGAACTACCCTGACAAAATGAGTTTTGAAAACAGCATAATTTTGTTTTCATTTCTTTTGGTGCTTAAATTACCTCAATGGACACAAATTACTGTGATTTAAAGACACCTGGAAAAGCAATTTAAGTATTGGTATATTATCAGCTGAATAACCTTCTAAGCGCTATTATTTTTACTTCCTCCTTTAGGAATTGCTTTGTTACATACTTGACCTATTTTCAGGCTATTCTACCAAATTTCCTCATGACTACCTATTAGTAATTTTGTGTAATCTGTTTGCTGGTCCACCACAGATGTGGTCCCTTCCTTCAGTTTGTTCCTGTGCAGATGGTTATTCCACGTGAGTCTTGTAGATATTGATGGTTTTTCGATCATTCTACTTTTTTGTTTGGGGGATACATTGTTACCTAATTTTATTATACAAGCGTACTTCAATAAATTCATGGGAAGCCAATGATAATGTGCATTTTCTGTTAACTTTTTGAAAACCACTCATATTATTGTGTGTGGACTGTCTGCTTCCAATTCCAGTTTTCTGTTAATGTGTGCCTTAGGAGGAATCAGCTGATGGCTCAAGCAGTTGGGTCCCTGCCACCCATATGGGAGATCTGAATTGGGTTCTGGGCTTCTGGATTCAGCCTGGCCCAGGCCTGGTTTTTGCAGGCACTTGGGAGGCAAACCAGTTATGGAAGCTCTCTATCTTTTTGTGTTTGTCTTTCTGTATCTCTGTTTTCATATAAATGAATAATTTTATAAAAAATACTAATTGTGATTAGAATAGGAAAGCAATAATTATGGCAGGAACCATCCTCTATTAATGCTATAATTAGTGTATAAAAACTTTGAGGAAAAATAGAAGAATGACATAGTTTGAAGGGATTTCCACAAGATATTTACTAGTTAGAGAGGGACAAATACTATCTTTGTAATAGATAAATGGATAACCAGCAATTTGACCAAGAAATAACATTAGCAATCATGAGATGCATTGCTATTATATGCTCCTTGTTGTGAGAAAGGATGTTCCTTCTATGATATTTTTCCTAGTTATGAGCTAATATTAAACAATCCAAATTGAGGAATATTCTATAAAATATTGGCCATTATTCTTCAGCAGTGTCAATTTTGTGAAAAATAAGGAAGGACTGCAGACCTATCACAGATTAGGGCAGACCTAAGAAAATCTGGAAATTAAATTCAAAGTGGTATTGAGTCCTGAAACAGAGAAAAGGCATTACTTAAAAAGCTAATCAAATTTTATTAAAATCTACACAAATGTTGATAGTATTCTACTGATGTTAATTTCTTACTTTATACTGTGGCTATGCAATATGTTAGTGGGAACTAGGTAGTGATATATGAAAATTTTCTGTATTATTTTTACAAACTTTCCCTAAGTATGAAATTACTTCAAAACACAAAGTTTAAAATGAAAAGACAATTTATGATATCACCACAATCCAGAACTCCTCCCTGATCTTGAATTTGATTTCTAGTTTTTCATTTCCATCTAGTGTGTCTGATTATTTTTAAAGCTATCTATTGACTTGTTAGATTGCCTTTTTCTGTTATTATGTTTGATTATTTATTTATTGTTTTCTACAAATTTAATTTTTGGTCCTTTCATATTAGTTTTTATTCTCAGTGACTGATTGTGCTGATTTCCTGTCAGTTGTGTCTGCTGATTCTCTTTCATAATGTTTGGTATCCTGCAGTTTGCAACCTAGAGGACTTTAATTCACACCCCTTTCCAAATCCAAGGGAAACAATTGTCAAACCACTGATGAATAGAGAAAGTTTTATTCTAGGCCCTAGAGGTTTCAGTAGTCCCAGATTGTGTCATTCTCTAAGTTCAGGTTTCAGACCCATCCTTAATCCTTTCCCAGAGCTCTAAGGGAAGGGCCAGTGAGGGAAAGTTTCTTAGTTTCCTCTTGGAGGACTGGAGGACTTTCTGTAACAGCCTCTACACAGCCCATGTCCTGAGATGCAGTTGATATCACTGTGTGGACACTGGAAGCTTAGCTCCCGAACCCTCAGAATAGAAAGACAATGAAATTCCCTGTGGTCACCACAGCCTTAGACAAGATTGAACTTTGTCTTTACTTTCTTCATTTCTGACAGCTTGGGGTTTTCCTGTAATTTGAGCTTTGGTCTCTCTCTTTAAAAAAAATCACTTTATTCATTATTTTTGTGTTTAGTGATGAAATGTAGTGTTTTTTTTTTCCAGGCAGAGTGAGAGAGAAAGAGAGAGAGAGAGTTATAGACAGTGAGAGAAAGAGACAGACAGACCTTCCATTGGTTCACTCCCCTAATGGCTGCTACGGCTGGCATGCTGCACTGATCCCAAGCCAGGAGCTGGGTACTTCCTCCCTGTCTCCCATGTGGGTGCAGGGACCCAAGCACTTGGGCCATCCTCCACAGCCCTCACGGGCCACAGCAGAGAGCTGGACTGGAAGAGGAGCAACCAGGACTAGTACCCGGTACTCCAACCGGGACAGGAACCGGGGATGCCGGCGCTGCAGGTGGAGGATTAGCCAAGTGAGCCAAGGTGCAGGCCCATGGAATGTAGTTTTATTTCACCATCCTAGTCTGCCATATTGCCCAAAGTCTTTCAGTTTATTTCTTAAAATAGACCCCTCCATAACCTATGAAAAATATAAATGAATTCTAAAATTTTTTAGTTATTTGGAAGACAAATAAAGAGACATATAAGTACAGAAAGCACATAGAACTCCTAATAGACATGACCAGAAAAAATCTTCATCACAACACATTGCAGTCAAACTTTCAACAGTAAAAAATTAAAAAAATTCTAAAATGTGCACAAGAGAAATACCAGATTCCATTCAGAGTAACTCCAATTAGATTCACAGCTGAATTCTCATCAGAAACTCTACAGGATAGGAGAGAATAGTGAGATATACTCCAAGTCTTAAGAGGAAAAAAAAATGTCATTCCAAAATTCTGTGCCCCACAAAGCTCTCATTTATGTCTAAAGGTAAAAGATACAGACTGGATGAACAGATTAAGAATAAAAACCTATCTACTTGCTTCCTAAGAGAAACACACCTCACCAACAAAGACAACGTGAACAATAAATGTGAAAGGATGGAAAAAGATATTCCAAGCTAATGGAAAGCAAAAGAAGGCAGGTGTAGCCATCCTAATAGCAGACAAAATAGACTTTAACACAAAAACTGTTAAAAGAGGAGAAGAAGGACACTATGTAAAGATTAAGGGATCAATTCAACAGGAAGATGTGGCTATGATAAATGCATATGCACCCAATTACAGGGAACTTATCTATTTAAAGAAATGTTAATGGATCTAAAAGGATACATAGACTCCAACAGTAACAAGAGATTTCAACACCCCTCTTTGATCAATGGACAGATTAACTAGACAGAAAATCAACAAAGAAACAACAGCACTAATTGACATTATGGATCAAATGGACCTAACTCATATCTACAGAACTTTTCATCACACAGTTGCAGAATACACATTTTCTAACCAGTGCATAGAACTTTCTCTATTATAGACCATATGCTTTTTTTTTTTCACAAGAAAACAGGAAAATCTTTATGACAATGGATTTGGCAATGACTTCTTGGGACAGGAGACCATAAGCACAGCTGCCAACAACCACAAAATAGATACGTTGTACATCATTAAAATAAATTTTTTGTACATCAAAGGAAATTAATTTTTAAAAAATTCTTAGAGTGCAAAGAAAACTCAAGGAATAGGAGAAAATATTTAAAATCATACATGATAATGATTAAAAAAAGAATATAACAATATAACTCTTACAAGTCAACAACAAAGCACTCCAACAAAAAATGGGCAAGGAACTTGAATATACCATTACTCCCAGAAGACACATGAATAGCCAACAAAGTATATAAGAAGATTCCCAGCATCACAACCATTAGGGAAATACAATTGAAAGCCACACTGAGCAGATATGCCCATTAGGAGAGCTATTGAAAAAGAAAGAACAGAAAATAACGTACATTGCAGAGGACGTGAAAGAAACTGGCACCCTGGTTTGTATGATCAGTTTGAACATAAAAATGGTGCTGCCACTGTAGAAAACAATTTGGGGATCCTCAAAAAATGAAATATAGAATTATCATATGATTCAGCAATTCCTCTCTTACATGCTCAGTGCAGTATTACAATAGCAGAAAGTGTATATTAACCTAAATGTCCATCAATAGATGGGTAAACAAAATGTGACATAACAATGATATTATTCATCCAGAAAAAGAAATGAAATTCTGATACATGCTGTTTCATGGGTGAACTGTAAAAATATTACAGGATTCTAAATTCAGAGAGAGAAAGCAAAACAGAAGTTCAGAGCATTGAAGGAGGAAATAGGGAGTTGTGTTTATAGCATACAGTTTCCATTTGGGATGATAAAAAGGTTTTTGCAAATAGATAGTGAGGATCATTACATCACATTGTGAAG